CAAATGCGATAATTTATTTGCCTGTAGGTTTGTATCTGAGCATGACACAGCATACATCAGACATGAACTGTGCTTGCTGTGACACAAAATCTAGGATCACCAATTATTACCTGCTTCATGACTCTGTGTATTACAATCAAATGATGTGACATTCAAGATGAAAGAGCTTAGGTCAAAAGAGGTCAGTTTAAAGTCATATGGCACAGCTGTAAATACAAGCTATTTTAATGGTATGCAAGCAATGTTTAGATTTGAGATTCCTTATGCTGCTGCCCTCATGCCTGAATTATCCAATGGCCTGCATTAGCTGTCCTGTCTCTTAAAAGTATTTTCCATACATTTTGAAGTGTAGCTATGTGATAAGTATGTCCCAAAAGACAAACTGAAGCTTCCTGAAACTGTTGTTAGTGATGTTGCTTGCTTACCTGCTTACCATAATCTGTTACCTGATGGATGCCTGTTTGGAGTGTATCGCAGGAATAGTGTTTTGGACTAATGTGGCAAAAACTAGGCAAACTTTAAGGATAAAAAAATAACACTATGTTTGCATATGATGTGATCTATTACATCACTCATCTGAATGAAATCTATTTCTTTTCAAGGATGATAGGTGCATACAGCTGTATCAACTACCAGTTATAACCTCAGTGTTTCGATGGCACAAAACTCATTAAGCAGTGCATGGGCATATTTAACAAGGATCACTTGTTTTTTTGGAGCACATTGCTAATATAAATAATCTCTCTTTCCTACAGTGTGCTGTGGTAATAGACAAATTTCTTATCTAGCGTTTAAATCCAGGCAAGCAGCTGCAGCATAGCAAACTCCATTAGGGCAGACTTGAGCTGATAGCCCAAGTGCACATTATTTTTAGCTCTGTTAAACTGAGCCCTGTTAGAATGAAGGGCAATGTAAAACAAAACATACCCATAGACACAGTTCACACAAAATGCTGTACATCTATTCTAGGCAAAAATGTAAACATTGTCCAGAGTCACAGAAAAGACATGTCATAGTTATTCTGTCTAATGAAATTTATCTATAGTAGTGCTGTGAGCAAGATGTTCTTACAGCCAGGTTATGGCCAGCTCTGTGCTGGGCAGGGCTAGGAGGAATGCAAAAAATGCCCGAATCCAACAGTTCAGAATGGCTGCAATTGACATAAGGATGTGTGTCCTACTGCCGTTTCAAGTGGGTCTGCATGGCTTTATTTATCCCCCTACTTAGGATTACTGCCTATTATTACATACAGTATCTTCCTTTGTTTCAAAGATCATTTTGCATTTACAAAGCACGTGTGACCTCTGAAATAAACGTGCAATTTTGTTGAAGAAAATCTCAAGATTATTTGATGAAACCTTATCCTACAAAGCCTGACAGCATGTATTAAAATTAACTAGGTATCTCCCTTGCCACACATATGCTGCCCACACAGAATTAAATTCCTGTGGAAATCTGCCACTACACAAAGCTTTATGCCCCAAAATAACTGGACATGAACTCATGCTAAATATACCTGCAGGTGTTAATAAGAAGCAACATGGTATTCAAGCTTCTCAACTACCTCTAATTATCACAGTAGTGATGAATATAGATACAGTTTCTAAATTTCCTATCCATTAGTTGGGCCCAAGGAGTTTGATCTTTGTCTTATATTCTGAGCTGGATTTTTAAAAATAAATTATCTGTTCAGAGGCATCATGAATGCAAGAATATTTGTGGGAGCATGCCTACATCTCTGAAGTTAAAATGGACCGCTGACAGATTCATCTATGTGCACTAGCAAATCACTTAAAACTTTCAGATCTTATCACCGGTCGCACGCAAACTCATCTGCTCCTCATCAGATTTCAGAACCAGGATTACTTGACGATGTTCTTTTCCTGAGTAACAACATTACTGTGTTTCTTGTGTATTTAGTATCCTACAAACACGTACTTCATGAAGCACAACACGTTTGCATAGAATTCCCCAGCTTACATTGAAAACAGAACTGGCGCATTAGGAAACATGCTGCCTCAAGCATGGTGCTGTATTTACCCAGCCTGCACCATAACCTCAGCTAGGTGTGCCTCTCAGTCATAGGTAAGCTCACAAGAAATTTATATCCTCAGTTGTTTCTATAGTTCACATTTTTCTTTGCACAGTTTTTGTCATTATAATTCCAAAAACACAAACACTGTCCTAGCAGGTGAGAGACTCAAAAAGCTCACAGTTAAAAAGAGCACCTTGGTGTTTATACTTGAAGGCCCTATTCCTGAAGTCAGAGTCATGTGAGGGAGCTTGAGGCTTACACAGGATTTCAGTGAAGCAGAAGTTTATGGGAGCATTGCACAGGTGCCTGAATTGTTTCTTATGCAGCTGGTATCCTACAACCATCCACTTCATTAGGGCTTGATTTGCCACTCTTGAGTAAAGCAGTAAAGAGTGAAACAGATAATTATTTTAGCATTTAATATTTTCTTAGGGTTTTTCTTTCGTACTTGACTAAAATGGGCCCTGAAATGCCCACTTCAGCTAAAAAATAAAAATATTTTCAATTATAAAAATCCTAAAATCTTGTATCCTAGAACTACCAGAACACTAAAGAGAAGCCAGAAACATTTCAAAAAGCAGCTGAACCTTAGAAACCTGTTCATTTAGAGTGGGAATATGTAGCTATAAACAGAGGTGAAACTTAAGTCTCACACTTCCTTTCTGTGCCTAGCTCATCAGAAATTATTGGCGTCCTTGGCAACTGGGCAAAAAACTTTCAAGTATGGAGTGGAAATTTCTGGGCACGGTTTTAGTTATATTTACATCACCTTGACAGTTTGGCACAAGACCACACTATTGAAAGATTTATAAGAAGAAAGAACTTACACTGCAAATCAGATAATCCCTATAAGAGATCTGCTGAATATTACTAGGAATATGAATATTATAAATAATATTTTAAAATAATAAAGCAACTTTGAAGCAATGTAAGGAAAAGGTGCAACAATTCAAAGCTAAGCTGCCTCTCCCATCCTTAACTTTCTCTGTTGTCCCAGTAAATTACCACATGTACATACACTGACCAGCAAATGCCAGGACTCTGCGCTAGCAAAAAGAGCACGGTTTTATGAGACGAATGAAAAAGCACCTAAGGAAGACCAGTTTTTTAACACCTGCTGTGTAGAATTGGATGAACTATTTTCAACTAGATTTAGTTATGACTATGTGAATGTATTTCTGAAGAGACTTTCTGTGCCAAATATTTGCATGGAATTACTTGCTATGATTAAATTACAGACTGTGGGAAACTGTTTATAAGGGAAATGTGACAGAACTATGCCTATTAAGAGAGCTGGTATATCACATATCTTCCCAGAGTATGACAGTCCGGTTATATATCCCTGAAAATAAGATGAGCAATGACAGAAGCTATGCAGCCACTGGTATGCTTATGGTTGCACAGAAAAGTCAAACTACAACAACCAAAATTGTGTTCTGTTGACCTAAAAAAGCAGGCTGCTGATCCAAACCTCAAATAAAACTTCCTTGGTTCTTGAAGCACTGTAGCACGGATGTGCACAACATGATGCACATCCATTTCAGTAGGTATTACTCCCAGCATCTCACAGTCCCTTGGAGCTGAATCAATACCACTACCATATGGCTCCCTGTCAATCCCAAGGAAGTAAGTGTTGCTTCACAGATCAGTGGGTTAAGAGGGCATGATGTTAAGAGGCATAGCTGGGATAGTAAAGATGGTTACTAAATTTCCACTAGTATCTTCAAAAATACAGGAAAATCTATGTATATTTAAACAAATAAATAAATAAATAAACTAACAAATACATATCAAACAAATAAATAAATAAGATAAAAAGCAAGTATTTCAGTTATGACATCCTTGAAGGCTTTTCTGAGCACTCTTTGTATATTCTTAAAGTCTAATGATCAATCTAAAAATTAACAATTAAGATTACTTATTTTGCATATGTTAGAACTGGGTACAAAAAAAGCATTTTTTTTATAAACGGAGTGACAGGTGGAATGAAAAACTACGACCAGCCACTTTTGAATGGAGCACTGATGAGGGATAGTGAGGATGTGACTATCTCTTTGTATCTGTACTCATGTCTTCATTATTCTTGACACTTGTTTCAGAACTTAAAAACTTTAAAAACGCACACTCCCTTTTACTGTGTGAGCACAACTTTCACTTCATGAACGACATTGTGGTGAAAATATAACCGAAGCTAAATTATTTTTCACCCAGTTATAATGATGCTGTATTTTTTTTTGTTTAGTCTTTTGGTATGTTCACGTAGATGCTGTCAAAAATTGGAGTCTACACTAAAAAGTTACCAAGTAGGAGTTACAGGTGCATGGAAATTCTGTGCAGTGACTGGATTTTGTTCTCTCTTTCAATGGCAGTAAGTCTTATAAACTCTAATACAACTTACTGACAGACCAACGCTTAACTTTTTCCTGTCGAACTGTGGGTACCATAAAACAGAGAAAAGTCTTAATTGAACATGTTGTAAAGATATTCTTGCCAAAAATTGTCTCCTACCCTGAAAATGCCTCTGCTGTTGGTGTAGAAACACAAAATATATTTAGAAAAAAAATAATAACGCAGCTTAACAGGAATGTGACAGATGTGAGGGTTTTTTTCAGAAAGAGGATTTGCTAAAAGACACCTTTTCCCAACAGAAAGTGCAGGACAAAGGAAGAAATGAGACTTCTGAAGGCATCCTGAAGAGACTTGTGCCGGGGGGTGCAGACGCTCCCCGCAGCGCCCGCCCATCACCAGCTGTCAGGGGACTGACACCCACAGACCGAAACAGCACATGAGAGGGATTCAATTCCCTGGGAAACTCGAGCAGCGCGGCACGCCCGGCAGCAGCGGCACCACGGGATGCCGGGGTGATTCCACCCGGGGGGCGGTGGCAGCTCCTTCATTTCCCCCGCGTGGAAACGAAATGTAGATGCGGGGGGAGCTGCACGGCCGGGGGCGGCAGCGCTCTCACCTTCCCCGTGCAGCGTCCAGGGCAGATGCGCGTAGTCCCACTGGTATCCGCAGGCGCTGTCCTCGAAGGCGCACGACCCGGGGGAGAGCAAGGCCGCCCCGGCGAGCCGCAGAGCTGCAAGAACAAAGCGAGCCCCAGTCACGGCGCGCCCGGCCCGGGGGCCGCCGCCCACCCCGAAGCAGCCCCGGAGCGCTCCCACCGCTCCCGGGCGGGCGGGCGGCGCCGAGGCGCGGCCCCCGTGGGCTCTTACCGTGCGCGGCGAGGAGGCAGAGCCGCAGCATCTTTCGCGCCGGAGGAGCGGGGCCGGCGGCGGGAGCGGGGCTGAGGCGGCCGCCCCGGGTCGGGGTGTGCGCGGGGCTGAGCGGCCCCGGCGGGGCGCAGCGAGAGCAGCCGCGGCCGCGGGAGGCAGGACAGGGGCGGGGAGGGCCCGGGGCTCCGCGGGTGGGCGGCCCGTCCCACCCCCGTCCCGGAGCGGGTCGGGCCCGGCCGGTCGCCCGAGGCCGGCGTGGCTGGGGCTGGAATGCCCTCCAAGGTGGGGAGGCCGCCGCCCCTGCGGGCAACCCACCGAAGTGCATCAACCCCCTCGCAGTGAAAATATGCTTTTCTTACTTTTAAGTGGATTTTCCCGTGTTTCCACTTGTGCCCAATGCTTTGCTCCCGTCACTGGACACTGCCGAAGAGCCTGGCTCTGTATGATGTACTCCCCGTCGGGTGCTGGTACGCAGTAGTAAGATGCCCACTCAAACCCATCTGCCGAGGACAAAGGGGCTCCCACCCCACCAAGGCTATTGTGCTACCACAACTTGCCCTGCCGTCCTTCCCAGCTACAAAACCTGCCCTACCAGAGAATCATGGTAGGGTACCCGGCAGGAGCTACTGAGGCTGTTGTTCATAGGTTCCAGGATAACTCAGTTAGGAAGGGACCATAGGAGGTCTCCAGCCCAAACCCTGCCTAAAATACAGCCAGCTTTGAGCTCAGACAAGGTTGCTCAGGGCTGTTCAGGGCTTTATCCAGTTGGGGTTTAATAACCTCCAAGGCTCCTGACAGCACAGCCTCTCAGGGCCCTGGCTCCAGTGTTGGGCTGTCCTTGTGGGGAAAACATTTCTTCCTTACGGGTGCTATGAATTTCCACTGTTTCAGCTGTGCTACTACCTCCCACTCTCCACTAATGCACCACTCTGACAGCTGTGTTTTCTCTGTCTCCCTCCTGTCCATGCCAAGGCTGCAATGTCTTCTCTCTTCCCAGCTGAACCAGACCTGGTCCTGAAGCCTCTCCTCACAAGACAGCGTCTCCAGCCCCATTGTCTCCGTGGCCTCCCCTCACCTCCCACCAGTTCGTCAGAGTCATTCTTGTGTTGGGCACCCAACCTGGAGGCAGTACCAGACAGGGGCTGGCTGGGGCCAAGCAGGAGATGGTCCCTGCACTCCTCTGGCTCGTGGGGCTGTGCCTTGCTGACACCACCCCAGGCACCACTACCCCTCTTGTCTGCCCAGGCACACGATCTGCTCCAGTTCAGTTCAGTGCCCAACAGTGCCCAGGACCATCCCTCACAGCTGCTCTCCAGCACTACCAGCCCCAGCCTGTATCTCTGCTGGGCCCTGCCTTCCAGTTGCTGGGCTCAACAATTGTCTGTATTGAATTCAATGAGTTCCTTGTTGGCCTTTGTTCATAATGCCCCTCAATAGCAGTCCTGCCACCAACATATCTGCTGGTCCCCACATCTGGTGTCATCTGGAAACTTGACATGTTTGTCCTCTGTTCCCACCTCCAGGTCAGATCTAGCAGCTAAGCCCACGTAACATAGTCTAAAGCCCCTATCCTCCCTGTTCAATGGTTTTGCATTCATTTTGTCTTGCTGGCTTCAGCAACTGTGCAACATAGTTTCCCATTGGGAAAACCCAGCTGTCCAGAGGATTCCTCAGAGAAACCCAAGGTAAACTCGCTTCAGCCATGCTTTTGAGTAATCTAAACTGAGTGATGGTAGAGTGAGAAATTTGAACAGCTCACTTCCTGAAAACGTTCTTCAAAGTTACAAAAGTAACTAAGAGGATGCAGGATGTCAGAACCTTTTTGGTAGACTACTCTGATAACCACTTTCTAGTGATTCATGAGCTCCAGGAAAACGGGGAAAAGCATCAATTCATAGAGACCTGCATTTAAACAAAAACCGCTTTGATTTATGCCGGCTAAACTCTTCTTAATTATAACATGTAGTCTTATTTCTCAATTTTCTTGGAGTCTGAATTAAAATTTGCTTCTCATGGAAACGTGTGGTCTAAGTACAATCACTGGCACTAATATTAGATCATTTGGTAAGGCCGTATCAGGGAAATACTAAGAACAGATTAGTACAGAACAGCTACATAGACTATTTCTTCAGCCATTATGAGCAAATGTGCTCTTTGTATGAGAGCCCACACATGTTTCAGTTATTTGGCCTTATTTTTTCATAATTTTAGCAAATTTTGGCATGCATCAAAAGTCTTAACAGGTTTCCAAAGTCACTGTGACACTCTCTGAGTCTTCTAATTCTCAAATGACCATGATGTAACCTCTTAATATACTTTGTATATTACTATTCCTGAATCTCATGTGGCGTCTAGAACTTTTCCCCATGAATTGACGTAGGCACTGCATCTAGTCAGCTGTGCTCACAGTGTTCGTAATGCCTTGTATGATTGCTCCAGCCCTCACCCAGTTACCCAGTTCAGGTTTTGACAGTGATAAGTTTTGGCTGACAGATTTTATTGTGCTTTGGGAGGAGGTAGTTTATAATATCAGATTAACCATGTACATGATCTGCCTCTGCAGTAATGACTCCCAAATGTGTTTGATTTGGAAGGCATTAGTTTTGAACATAGAAGAACAGACTCTGTGTTCTCATGGGGAGGTTATGCTTGCTAGCTTTGAGGAACAACAGAGAGTGGTTCATGGAATATCCTGTCATCTGCATGAAATTATTCAGGGTTTGCTTGCTTGCTTGTTTGTTTGTTTGTTTGTTTGTTTGTTTGTTTGTTTGTTTTTGGTGTGTGTATTCCTTGTGCATAAGTAATAGGTCCTTAATTTCAGTCACTCCATTGTAGGACTAGAGTAGCATCTACCTTGGAGGTACCCACTGGCAATTTAATTTTTAATTGGAAATTCCTTTAGTTTCCCACGAAACATAGAAATATTTGCATCCCTTATTCATGGATTTGCACAGTCGCATTCTCAGGTTTCTTGCTCAGATAATCAGATGACACAAAATCTGCTGCCATAGTTCACTTTCCAAAACTCTTTGTTTCCTTCCCTTTCCCACAGGAATAATATATACAATGAAGTGCCTTGTACCTGGCTCTGTCATTCAGCTGTACCCTTTGCTGTATTCAGAATTTGTACAGAATACATATACAGCATACTGAATTTGCAGCTCTTTGTTTATCTTTCACCTAAGAGTCAAAAATTATAGAAGCATATAATGACTTGGGTTGGAAGGGACCTTCAAACACCAAGTAGTTCCAAGCCCTCTGTCAGGGGCAGGGACATCTTCTATTAAACTAGGTTGCTCAGAGCTCCATCCAACCTGGCCTTGAACACTTCTAGAGATGGGGCATCCACAGCTTCTCTGGGCAACCTGTGCCAGTGTATCACCACCCTCTTAGTGAAGCATTTCTTCCTAATATCTATTCTAAACCTGCCCTCCTTCAGCTTAAGACCATTCCCCCTTCTCCTATCACTATGTGTCCTTAAAAGCAAAAAGTTCCTCACCAGCTTTCTTGAGGCCCCTTTAGGTACTGGAACATGCTCTAAGGTCTCCCTGGAGGCTTTTCTTCTCCAGGCTGAACAGCCTCAACTCTTTCAGCCTGTCCTCACAGAAGAAGTGATTATCTTTTTATCTTTCCTCTGCACTCACTCTAGCAGGTCCATTGTTCTTCTTATGCTGGGGGTCCCAGAAATGGACTCAGTACTGCAGGTGGGGTTTCACAAGAGCAGAGTAAAGGGTCAGAATCACCTCCCTTGACCTGCTGGCCACAATGCTTTTGATGCAGCTCAGGATGGGGTTGATTTTCTGGGCTGTGAATGCACATTGCTGACTCGTGTCCAGTCTCTCATCCATCAGCACCCCCAAGTCCTTCTCCCTAGGGCTGTTCTCTATCCATTCTCTGCCCAGCCCATATTTGTGCTTTGGATTACCCCAGCTCACATGCAGGACCTTGCACTTCTCCTTGTTGAACTTCATGAAGTTGGCACAGGCTCCCCTCTCAGACCTGTCCAAGTTCCTCTGGATGGCATCCCTTCCCTCCAGCATGTCGACTGCACCATGCAACTTGTCAATGGTGCACTTAATCCCACCATGTCCATGTCACCAACAAAGACATTAAAGAGCACCAGTCCCAACACTGACCCCTGATGAATGCCACATGCCACTGGTCTCCAGCTGGACACTGGGACGTTGACCTCAATTCTTTGAGTGTGACCAATTCCTTATCTACTGTGTGGCCCATCAAACCTGTCTTTCCAATTAGAGACCAGGATCTCACATGGGACAGTGTCAAGTGCTTTTTTAACCTTCGATCATACTCCTCTAGCAGCATCTAGCTGGATGAAAACAGCATGTACACAAATCTTACCACACACAGTAAAACCAGGAAGTTAGTGTATTTTCCAGTGAATCACTTCCCTATCATGTAGCCTGTGGATCTAGTGTGCCCAGAAAAACTTTCTGAATGTCCATGAACATATTCTCTGCTTTTCCAAAGGACGGATGCCAGGCTTCTCTGGATACATCAGGCAAAGAAAAGAAGTGACAAAAATATCTGTAAGATCATTTACTCTCAGATAGTGGAAAATCTTTCCCCTTTTAGAAACTCTTTCAATTCATATGGGTCTTTAATGAAACTAGTGGTTGTGATCAGCATGGGTACCTTCATTTTGTGGGGAATTTTTTTTCCAGTTTGACTTGTGGCTTCCAGAACAAGAAGCCTGCCAACCCCTTCTTTGAGTTTCACTTCCAGAGAAAGTGGACAAGAACAAGCATCCCAGAAGCAGGGGCTCCCTCAACTCTGCTCTGAAGTCTGTTGAAAGCTGCGTTATTGCCTCGACAAAGTTCTCAAAATCTTCCTCTACTGTGTGGGTGGCCCATTCCATCTTTTTCTAGAAGGAATGTTCTGCCCTGATGAGATCCAGAACTTGGTTCATTTTAAACTCAGTTTATGCCCTGATTTGACTAGAAGTTTTATATTTCAGCTTTGTTTTTTTACATCATAGACTCCTTGGGTAGTTTCTTGCAGAGTGTCCTGCATCAGACATCAGTCACAAGCTAGTCCTTTCTCAGGGATTTGACTCATCCCCAAATGCAAAACTGGCTCTCTAGCCACAGGTGTGTCATAAACTTTATGGCTGTTATATCTTCTTTTGCATTCTCTGCTAAAAAAAGAGAGAATCCTGTAATTCATTTTTTATGGTATGCAGAATACTACAGTTGGTTAGAAACATTCAGTGCTTCAGAACCAGCTTTTTTAGAAATGAGATCAGTTTTCTTTTTTTTTGAATGGCTGTGTTTCTCATGCATGTACAGTTAAGCACACTTGTTTGGGTTTTCTGGGAGTGTCCTCTTTCCTGTGGCTTCTACATGGTCCTATTTCTACTCTTTAGTTTATTTGATTCCTGTTATTTTAGAAGTAAGATCCTGGTAGGATGTCTCATGTCTTCAGCCTTCTGTGAATTAGATTCAGTGTCTGAAAAAGGAGTCCAGAGAGAGATAAACCAGAAGCTGCCAGCTTGTGCAGTAACTAATCTCCCAAAAAGTTGAAATGGTGCCTGTGTAACATCTTTACCCAATTTTATAACTGTGCCTTTGTCTAGTCTGCCTTTCCATCTCTGTTGCAGTGTGGACAAAGCCCCCACAATCACACAAACTTATAGTCAAAGATTAAAAAAAACCAAAACCAAGAAAAATGTGCATTGCAACCTTTTGCAGGTGGCTAGCAAAAATAGGCAGGTTCACATCAGAATATTCTTCAGAGTCAAGTCTGTTGGACTGCAGCACAATGGTACCTCTCAAAAATATTGAAAATCAGAAAAAAACCAAAAAACTGTCAGCAAAAGACTTTGTCTCTTTTTGATGGAAGTATCATGTTACTTTAATCTTTCTTGAATTTTACTCTTTGTTATGACTGCCACTTGTTTACTACTTGTTTAACAATCATATTTCTCTTGTGATGACCAAAGCAGACTCTTATGGCTGAAGAAGAAACGAATGAAGCCTGACAAACTGCATGCCATTATCTTTCATTATAATGCAGATATATGACAGATTCAA